GAGGGGGGGGGGGGGGGGGGGGGGGGGGGGGGAGAAGGAGGGAGAGGAAGGGAAGCTTATTCTAAATTTGCTGGGACATACGCGGGCATGGAATATTGCCGTAAAATTTCAGCCTTCTAGCTTTCGTGGTTCTCGAGATAATAACTTCCCTGCCAAAATTTTTAGGGGGTCGTACGTAATACTGCGCAGGAAGGCTGAAATTAAGGCTACGGGATCTGACATAGGTAGGAGTCATTACCTTAAAATTTCAGCAAACTATCATAATTCCCGCGATAACAACTTTCTCCACCAAAATTTTTACGGGGTAGTACGTGGTATTTTGAAGCAGGAAAGGGTTGAAATTAAATTCGCGAGGTCACACATAGGCGAAGAACACTATACCAAAATTTCAGCTTCCCAGCTTTTGTGGTTCCCGAGTTGAAAGTTGCGGAAAAATGCATTCGGACATACAAACACACACACACAACCCCGTGACAATGTGGCTTTTTTATGCAGCTATTGCACAAGATAAAACGCATAAAAACAGTACTGGATTTCTCAACAATTTCCGCAGAGTCGCCATTCATCCCTCTTCCCATGCCCGGTTGCCCCATATTTTCATGTGATTGGGAAATGCCCCGTCTCGAGTTCCCTCCTCCGTGATATGTGATGATGTGATTAGAAATGAAGTGAGAAATGTTCACAGTGCGGCGACAGCTTGGAGCTGCTCTTGGCGCTTTCCTTCGCCTCGCATTTGTCGCACTGTGCGGCAACAGATTGGAGCTGCTGTAGATTATGCCACGCCGTGGAATCAGTCGGTTTGTTTTAAGATAAAAAGCATTGTTTGTTGGATGAATGCTCACCGCAGCCACAGGAACACAGCCGTCCGGTCCAGGCTCTATCGTCCACCCGACCACTTTACTGGTGCCCGATTAAAATAAAATCAACTACAGCCCTCGGATGATTATGTGGTGAAGAGGTGCAGGAAAAGTACAAATTCTGAACGTACCATCGGATATTGCACTTCTTCAGACATAACTGTATCTGCCAGAAGCAAATCGCAAGAAATCACAGTTGCGACAGTGAAACGCTGAAAACGAACAGGATGATGATGATGCGGATGGTAAAGAATACTGAAAAACAGTCGGTTACGTGGGATCGCTGACAACCCGAAAGTAACCAGTGCACAACTGAACCACAAGTACCCCCAAGCAATATTTGTTCAGCCACAAAACAAAAAGGACAAGATTTCTACAACGATTAGAAGAGCCATGCACACATCATACACATTTTTTGTATGACAATTTTTAAAAACACTTCTTCGTGACCTAGGCGTGAAAACATTCCAGACCACATGGCACACAATAATTGGCCAGCGTACGGGCTGCCCGTGCGAAGATGCGTTTTTTGCACAGTTCTTCGCAGCTTTTGTTACCGGCACCGGCTTTTTCGGCAAATGCTTTAGCCAAACAAATTAAGATTGGCCGCCAGAACTGTC